ACAAGATGCCCGTAGATGTTGGTCATAGTCAATGGCCCAGGACCCACTGGCCAGGCCTCACTGTAGGAGGCTGTGGCAGCAGCACTCAACACAGAACACGCCTGCCCACCATGGCATGAGCAAGCAGGGCTTCCCAAACCACACAGACACCACACACACACAGGCCAGGACCTCGAACTGCTCACTGGTGTGGGATTTACACCAAAAAGCCTGCGTGTGAAGCCATTCCCTTCACATATGGGGGTGTCTGCTTACACAGCTACTCTCATAGCACAAAAGCAGTTTGCTTTTCCCGTACGAAGCTTAAAACCTCATGGAAGCAAAAGAGGAGTCACCTGGAAGCAAAAGCTGCTCATCTCCGTGCCTGGTGACAGCACAGAAACCTCCCTGCCCTTTCCTCCTGCTTTAAAACACCAAGGGGTGAGGGGAATGCTGCAGCAATATTTTCACATTGACCTTATTCCTTATGGCTTCATCACGTTAATTCGATCCAGACACATGCAGCTTCCCTGGAGTCGCTGCCAAAGAACTGTCTTATCTTCGCTGCCCCGAGGTTGTGCTTTCAGTTCGGCACAGACCAATGCCAAGGGCGTTCCCAGCAGTGACTGCATTGCCCTTTGTCTCCCAGCAAAGTCTGCGGCTCATGTCTCCCCCCTCCTGTTGCTGTTAACCAGTTCATCACTGCATCCAAGCCTTCCGTTCCTCTCCAAACATCTTATTTCACTTTCAAGTCCCAAGCCCAGAACACATGCACAGTGGGAGGGAGGAAGTCCACATGGAAAACATGTCAACACCCCAGGAAATCACTTACTGGGACATTGTAAATACAGAGCACAAAGAAACCCAGCCCAGGGCTCTGCCCCTCTGCCTGCCCTGGGGCACCTTGGGGCATCCCCCAAGTGAACTGAACCCGAGAAGGAGGAAAACAAAGCAGAAACCCCTTTCCTTCAGCAGGAGAGATTCAAGCAGCTGTGGGAGGCAGGATGCTCCTTAAACCAAGAGGATAACATCGGTGCTCCCACAGCAGGAGTGAGCAGGAGCCTCAGTGCAGCCACAGGCAGGAGGAGGCCAGCTCAGCCATCCCATTCCACCCATGCCATTCCCTGGACCCGTACTGCTCACAGAGCCTTCCCACAGGCTGCAGCCCCACAGGGACTGGTGCCAAGGTCCCACTGAGGCCCCTCAGGAAAAACACTGCCTTGAAGGTGGTTTCTTTCTCCTCCAGTGGATTACCTTTTGCTGCTCAGAGCCCTCAGGGCTGCTGGAACAGGAAGCTGATGTCAGCAGCTTGGCCCATCCTCCATTCCCTCCACAGACATGTCCCCAGCTCTCACTGGCACGGTCCCTGGATCCCCAGCCAGCACCGACAGCTCCTGGGCTCTGCCCTTGGGACCAGCAAGCTGGACACAAAGGAAGAACTGAGCGAGCTCCACCCAGGCTTATGAAGCATATGCAGTTTTCCCCTTGATTTCCCACCGTGCAACAGACTGGAGATCCCAGGAAAAAGTAATTCCACTTACCTACTGCCTGGGGCATCCCAACAGCTCTGTGGAACCTGGTCCTGATCCACACAGGAACGCACCGCACATGGACACCCCCATATGTGAAGGGAATGGCTTTAACCTGCCAGAAGGGAGACTGAGATGAGCTCTTAGGCAGAAGCTCTTCCCTGGGAGGGTGCTGAGGCGCTGGCACAGGGTGCCCAGAGAAGCTGTGGCTGCCCCATCCCTGACAGTGCTCAAGGCCAGGTTGGACACAGGGGCTTGGAGCAAGCTGCTCTAGTGGGAGGGGTCCCTGCCCGTGGCAGGGGTTGGGGCTGGATGAGCTTTAAGGTCCCTTCAACCCAAACCACTCTGTGGCTCTATGCATCTGCTGCCTTAGTACAGCAGAGTGGAAAGGGACAGCATCAGGCTCCATTAAACACTGTGTTTCATTAAGACTCAGTGGCCGAGGGCTCCTCCAGGGGCAGGCAGAGGAGGCCAGAGCCCACTGGCCCCATAGCTTCATAGTGACCCACCCAGTGCATATTCATCCTGCTCCTCACACCCCAGCACCAGGCTGGGAAAGCACCAAGTCAACCACCCCAGCTCACATCCTGCCCTTCGGACGTGGGACAGCCAGAGCCCTCCCACGAGGGTCCCAGTCACGTATGAATGAGCTATAATCACATAAACAATACAACAATCATCGATATCATGGTTTAAGACCTTTCTGGCAGGTCCTTCCCTTTTCTGGGTGAGGAGCAGAGTGCCCCACAGCCACTTCCTCGCATGGAACATCACCTGGAGTGGGGTCTAAGACCCTGAAGGCAGCTGAAAAGGGATTTGAAGAGCCTCAGCCTTCTCTCTGGTGCTCAGCACAGCGCTGCAAGCAGCAGTTCTTGCTTAGCTCAGACCACCACATGCTTGGTGGCATTTATCAAACACACGCACGGGCTCCAGCGCCGGGTTGTATAACCAGCCCTTTGCCGAAGGGAAACCCCAGGGCTCCTCCTGGAGTCGCTCAGAAGATAATGCAATGGGAAAGCAAGAGGCGGATGGGGAAAACCCTTCCCAACCATTTCTCCATTAGTTAGAGCCGTGAGTATGTGCTCTCCCTGCACAGAATTTTGCAGGAAAGAGATGAACTTGTTTTCATAGGAATTAAAGGAATCCCGCAAAGCAGAGCTCAACGAGCCAGGAGGATCTGTACCCCCCGGCTCCCTGGGGGAGCACCAGTCCCAGTGCACAGCCCTGCAGGAGCCCCACGTTCCAGGCACTGGCAGCACTGCCGTGGGTAACACGGTCATGATGAGGATGATTTTGCTCCAAGTGTCCCTGCACAGAGAACTACAGCTTAGACCCAACCAGGTCTGGAGCTGAACTGAGCCTCTCCCTTCACACAAACACAGTTTACGTCACTGGGGTCAGCAGGCTTTCATATACAGACAAGCAGCTCCAAGCTCCTATTTCCACGTTGCCACTGCGCACCAGACCTCCAGCTGTCCATCCACAGGGAAATTACCACGTGAAAGAGAAGCAGGAGTGAAGAGATCTGTGCAAGCCAGAGGCAAAGAAAAGGCTCTGGCATGGTGGAGCTGGGAGTTTGCCTGCTGGCAACTGCTTCCTGCCCCGAGCTCCCATTCCCAGATGGCAGAGCCGCTGTGATCCCCTTCCAACAGCCTGCTCCCTGCCCTCCCGCTTCCCTGGAGCATTTGGGATAAGACACCAGGCAGCCGGGAGGCTCCGGCCCACTCACAGCTTTCCTTTTTTGCACCTCTTGTCCTTACCCTTACCCCAGGCTGCAGCAACCTTCCTGCAAGGAGAGGGATGGGCTCAGATGTGGTGTGGATCTAACTGAAGCAGGGACCATGTTTTCAAGTGTAAGAGGCAGAAAAGCAAAGCTCTATTTGTCTGGTATTCCAAGCGCCACAGGGAAGAGAAGCCTGCATGAGGAGCCTGCATGCACCCCTGCATGCACAGGACAGGAATTTCCTGGAGGAAACCCCCAGGAACTGGGAGAGGGTGAACAACCCTCTCCAAACAGGACAAAGAAAGGCATTTAAAGGCAAAGTTTCTCCTGCTAGAGGCAGGAGCATTTCAAGTTGTTACTTACCAACACACCAGTCTTGGTTTCAACTCAGCACCAGCTCCTGCTGTACAGAACACCGTAGACAAAGTTGAGGCGTTTATTTTCTAGGCAGAAGGGACCTGATCCATTGGTAACTTCTTGTTTTGATTCAGCTTTAAGGTAGACAAGAATTCAGGACCTCAGAGCCAGGAAAAGCAGTGGCAGCAGGTACTCACTGCTGGAAAATGATCTGGCTTCAGTTCCATGTAGATAAAGAACTTGCTTCTATTTCAGAGAGTTTAAGAACAAACCTCCAAACAACTCTATCCAGGAGCCCCGCTCCCACATGGAATAGGTTTACTATGGGCAGCAGCAGCCTCACATGGACCACCCATCAGAGATTTGTCCATCAGGAAGCAGAGTCAGAGCCCCCAGTCCCTAACTGTGGGCCATCACTCACCAGCTGGCTCCTCTCTGCAGCCACAGTGGTGAACCAGGGTGAGAGGAAGCTCTGCAGAGCCTCAGGCATAGACCATAGACCACCACCTGATAGAGACTGAAGCCATGATGAACATCATCCACCTCCAAAACCATTCACATACCTTCAGAATTCCAGTAAATGGTCACAATTTTATTAACAGGAACATTTGGTGGGATTTGGGACAGGGACTTGAAGGACACAGGTGGAACGAGGCTGAGGGGTTTATTGCTCAGGAAGGGTTTATTGCATAGCTGTTGGCAAAAGGAGAGACCCCGAGCGGTGCACGTATGTGAAGTGGCAGCACTCCCAATCCTGGAGCTGGGACCTGGAGGAGCAGGGAACAGCAAAAGTGTCCATGTAAACATCCCAGGCACAGGGGGCCCAGGAGAAAGTCTCCAGCCCCAAGCCCCTGCTGACTATGGGAGAGGTCACTGTGTGGTATCAATCATGATCAGAACACGGAAGTGCAAAGGGCAATAACATAGGACTTGGCCTTTCCCATTCTAAAAGTAAAAGGAAAGTAAAGGAGAAGGAATCCTCAGGCATGTATCTAAGCACAGGATCATGGTGAGAACACAACTGTTACCTCCTGCCTCCTCCTCAGGACTCTCCTGGCAAGGTAGCAGCAGAGGCACTGAATACATTCACAGATTCATCGAAAGAAGCTTCATCCCAACCAGACCTAGGCCCAGGAGATCTGCTCTCGGGGGTTTGGGCTTGTGGGGCTCTTACCCTTGCTGAGCAGAACACCCTCAGCCAGCCAACGGTTCCCTCCCCCCACCAGTTTTGACTGTTCCTATTGTTCCCAAGCGGCTACTTGGGAATCCACCACCCCTGAGTTACAACCACATCCTTCTGCCACCACCTGAGTGCTGTGTGCAAAATCCTCCTCCTGCAAAGCTTCTGAAGAACAGAGCTTGTCTTTTCCTCCCTGCGTTAGTGCCGAGTCCAAATAAAGTAAGAGATCCAATTCTATAGCATTTTGCTTTTACTCCTTCATGGAATCTTTCCAATGCAACTTCACAAAAGCAACGTAATTAAAGTCTCTTTTTTTCTTCTAAAAAGAAGATTCTGTTCCACAGATTATGTAGTGCAATCGGTATCTGGTAGAAAAAAAAAGTATCTTCTTCAGCTCCTTTGAAGAAAACTTGGAAAACAGTTCCATGTTTTCAATAAAAATAGGGAAGTGTATCCAGGATGGTCTCTAAAGGTCCTTTTGTGTTGAACACACAATACCTCCTGGTCTGCCTTTAGTTGAAGAGTATCGAATCTGGGTCCTGGTTGGCCAGTTGTGCAATGTGCTTCAGAACGTCCTTCTTAGTGATGATCCCAAGGAGCTTCCTGAAAAAGGGAACCACAGTTTCAGGGCACTAGCATGCACAGAAAGTATCCTGCCTCTCACAGGCTTCACACTTTAATGCCTTGCAGGAGCTGAAGTACCTTTGTGGGACACTCTGCACAATGTAGGGTGCTCACAAGCCCCAGCAGAAACCGTCAGTGATTTACATTTAGGAGGTTATGACCAAAAGACAAATACTAATCACTGCTAACACCCACCTCTGCTGAAAAGATCAACCTGAATGTTTAGTGCTGCAAGAAACCTGGGAAGGGACTTTGAACAAGGGCCTGCAGGAACAGGCCAAGGGAAATGGCTTTAACCTGCCAGAGGGGAGACTGAGATGAGCTCTTAGGCAGAAGCTCTTCCCTGTGAGGGTGCTGAGGCGCTGGCACAGGGTGCCCAGAGAAGCTGTGGCTGCCTCATCCCTGGCAGTGTTCAAGGCCAGGTTGGACACAGGGGCTTGGAGCAAGCTGCTCTAGTGGAAGGTGTCCCTGCCCGTGGCAGGGGTTGGGACTGGATGAGATTCAAGGTCCCTTCAACCCAACCAAACCCCAGAGTCTGGGATTCTGTGGGCATGGGTGGGTGCATCGGGATAAAGGGGCAGGAGGGATGGGTCGGTCCTGCCCCAGGAGAGAGCTAAATGGGGAGATTTGCTAAAGGATCTAGAGACATTGAAATGAGCAGGTCAGGAAGTAAAACATGGCCAATAATATTTCAAAGGCTGAAACACCACAAACTGCATCCACAGAAGCTGTGGCTGCCCCATCCCTGGCAGTGCTCAAGGCCAGGTTGGACACAGGGGCTTGCAGCAGCCTGGTCTAGAAGAAGGTGTCCCTTCACTCCTTCCCCCTCAGAAAACACTGTTTCTGAGCAGCATCAAAGTGAATTCCAGTAGTTGCATGATACCTATGGGCAGATCTGAGAGGAGGCTGTGAGCCCTCTCCATCAGTTTGACAGATGCATCACTGCATGGAGCTGGGTCCTCACCTTACAGGCTTTATGTTACTGCTTCAGCTGAAGGTTCGGTGTTCTCACAAGTGCTTTGTTCCAGAGCTGCTCCCCCTGATACTCAGAGCCCTCTGCTCACTGAAGGAGAGGAGGCAGTCCCCGAGCCCAGGGCCCTGCCTGCAGCGTGCTTACCCGTTATGAGTCACCAGGCACTGGCGCAATCCTAGCTTGCGGAATATATCCACTACGATTTCCATGGGCGTTTGGTCTGTCACTGTGAAGGGACTGAGGTCCAGGATGCTCCTAAGTTTCAGCATGGAGGGGGAGCTTGGAGGCAGCGGGGGAGAGTGGTCAGTGAAATAAACAACTGAAGTGCTCACAATCCCATCCTGCTTTTTCCGGGCATTTTCTGGAAGAAGGAACATTTGATTAAGTATTATCCCTCCCTTTCTTTTCCAAACAAAAGAGCGCATACCCTTTCATCTCTGCCTTAAAAGTCTATTCCTTCCCTTCACCTGAGCTGCTTCTCCAGGCAACCAGGAACTCAAGGAGGGTGCAACACGTTTCTTGTGTTTTGCTCTGGCCATGTAAAGGCAAGTTCTGGAGATCTTTAACTTCCCAATTTTAAGAGGGGGTAGATAAAATGCTTTGTACTTTATCACTCACTGATTTGGGTCCTATGCAGAGCAACTTCACAAGTATTTTTAAGCACTTAAACATACTGGCACAGGCTCCGTGCCCATGATGGTGTCAGGAATAAAACCAGGTTCAGTACTTGCCCTCACTCAGGTATTTACATAGTGCATTACTCTCAGGCTGCATGGGCAGTCCAGGCTTCAATTTGGTATTTACATTCAAGGCTCCCTGGGAAGGGGCTGGCCTGGCAGCCCCAGCACCAGAGCTGGGTGAAATCCCCTCCTGTGGCACACAACAGTGCTTATCTCTGGGGGGAGGATTACTCTTAAGTCCCTGAAGATTCAGAATAACATAACTGCAAGAATTCATGGCCATCCCACAGAGCAGAAGGAAGGCAATGTGCATGATAAACGAGGGGAGACTGAAATGAGCTCTTAGGCAGAAGCTCTTCCCTGTGAGGGTGCTGAGGCGCTGGCACAGGGTGCCCAGAGAAGCTGTGGCTGCCCCATCCCTGGCAGTGTTCAAGGCCAGGCTGGACACAGGACTTGGAGCAAGCTGCTCTAGTGGAAGGGGTCCCTGCCCGTGGCAGGGGTTGGAACTGGAGGAGCTTCAAGGTAAGCACCATCCTGCTCCTTGCTCCGGCATCCCGAGCAGAGAGGGATACGTGGCTTTGGCTGGATCCATCCTTCCCTCCAGCTCACCACGGCACTCACATGAACACTGCTAGGTGCTGGTGCAGGAGGTGAGGAGCTCACCCAGGCTCAGCATAGCTGCTCGGAGCTGCACATACACCACAGGAATTCAACTGGCACGACAGTACGGGGCTTGGCACCCCGATGCCCAACCTCCGCTCCAGTGCAGGAGTGCTAGATGCCTGTATAGCACTCAACCCTAACACACAGATTTTTCCTGCTGCACCACCAGAAGCCACGTGGCCTCACCCAGGCCAATGAGAGACAACATGACCAGAATTTCCACTCAGGTCTCATGCTGAGAAACAGCACTTGAAGTTTTTTAAGAAACTTGAGATCAAGAGGAGCCTAAACATGCCCTAAACTGTACCATGGCGAAGTTGTTTCCAAAGGAGCTCAACACACATCTGAGAGATGCCGGGACAGTGTTTACCAAGCCCTGCCAACACCACGCACTACTCATCTCAACCACCGAGTGAAACAAGTGGAAGACCAGGCTGGCTAGTGGTGAAGAGAGGTATTTACAGGTTGGACAGCACCACCTCAGAAGTGCCCCAATATTCAGTGCCTGGACCAACCAGACTTTTTCTTAATGAAATGAATTAACAGCTAAGAAAGCATTCCACAGTCCAGTCATCCACAGTCAGGAAGACTTAGTTCCTGCTGGCAAGAAGTCCCCTGCTTCATGCCGTAAGGTTCATGAATTCAAGACAGCCACACTGATTGCACCAAGAAGTCATCCTGTCCCTCACACTCACTGCATGCAGACCCCATGCTGCTTGGGGATGCAAACACCACCGCTACTGGGTGCCTAAACTCCTCAAGTAAATTACAGCTGGTGCCATTTAAGGACTCTGATGGCATCATTCATCTGCGCAGTATCTTTCCTCTTACCAATTGAAATGATGAGGTCTCTTCTGAGGACAAACCCAACAAGCCTCTGGGACTCGCGGGACACCACCACCGGATAGCCACTATACGTGGTTTCATTGATGATGCTCTCCACGTCCTCCACGGTCATGCTGTCCTGCGTGATGACAGTCAGAGGAGGATCATTCCTCCGTGGCCTCATTACATCCATCGCGAGGGTCTTGTGTGAGAACTCCTCCTTGGCCTCCAGGAAAGGGTACCCATTGAGGCGAATGTGGGCATCGTAAATGCCTTCCCGCCCAATGGCATCAGCCACCCACTTGCTGGTCATGGCTGCTGCCATCAGTGGAACGATGTATTCCAGTCCACCAGTGAGCTCAAACATAATGACCACCAGGGACACCGTCATTCGGGTCACACCACCTGCAAGCACAACAGGAGATGACAGAGGACATGAGCAGGCAGTTCTGGGGGGTTCCAGGCAGCAGAGCTGCATCTGCCAACACTTCTAGAGAAGGTCTTGTACTGCTGGACTCCTGCACCACATTCAGCATTGCAGGGGACACCAAACACGAGCAGAACACAGTACTGAAACCACCCATCCCATCCAGAGCATGGTGCCATGGGCTGGCTCACAAGGGTTTGCTACCTGGTTTTGATGGGTTTCCCTTCAATTCAGACCGAACCTTAAAAGATGACTAACTAACCTTCTCTCAGGTGACTTAGCTAGCTGAAAAACAGCCTGGCCATGCAGTTTTGCTCCAATACCATCACCTCAAGGGACACAGACCCTTTAGTGCCGTGCAGTGGTAAGAAGAGTTAATGAAAAGGAACTATTTTCATCAATTACATGTAAACAAGGTGTTTCCCCTTTAAAAAGGCCAAAGATGAGGTTTGGTGGCATGCTTTTACTATTTCTGACATGAGAGTTTCTTCTGATACTCTTGAGTCCTTAAATCCCTTTAGAGTTAAGCACATTTTTCTGTGGAGGAAAGGATTGGGAAATACAGTGAAAGTGAAGTTCAGCCACATGCACTCAACTTCTCACATCCAGCCAAGAGGAAGAAGCGTTACCAAAACCCAGAGTGCTTGAAAGAAGAGTTGCTCCACGAGAGTTAAGGCCAGAACAGGAAGTAAAAGCCCACAGGAAAACCTGAGGTCAGTAGGCAGCCTCCCTTGTTCTGCTGCATGGTCAGGAGCTCCCCACTGAAACCTGCCACATCCAATGACACGTTGGTGCTGGCAAGAGAAGGCCTTGAACACTGCCAGGGATGGGGCATTCACAACTTCCTTGGGCAGCCTGCTCCAGTGCCTCTACAACATCATGCATTTTACAACAAGGGTTCCTGTTCTGGAGATGAAGCCAGCTTCTACGGACTGTGAGAACAGCAGCATTTCACTCCTACATGTCTCCACATGGTCAACCAAGCCCAAAGCACAGCTTGGACTTCATGGACTCCTTGCTCACCCAGACACGCTGCAGCCCCAACCATTGCGTAGAGGCCCGGAGTGATGCAGTCAGCTCCTTGGCTGCACCAGCCACTGAAGATGGCCCAGTCATGGTGGTAGTAGGCCAGCTGCTCCATGGCCACACCAAGCAGCCTGCCTGCAATGGCACCCACCGCCATGCTGGGGATGAAGAGACCCGAGGGCACCTGCAGAAACACCATCGGTCAAGGCCTTGCTCCCCACACGTTGCAAAGGAATGCTCAAAAACAGTTGTTCCAGTGACAGCTCAAAACAGGGCTCAGTTAGAGGTTACACTGAAGTTGCTCCACCTGCTGAACCCCACTGCAGGAAAGCTCAGACCTTGGCCCTACACCCATAGCTCAGGAGGCTGCCACCAAGCCAGATCAAAACCATCTGAGCAAGGAACAGCTATAAGCAAGCATTTACAAATAAAGACAACTGCACTGCCATTATCTATTGCATATATACTAGAAAGGCTTAAGGTTGGACAATGTAGCAGCATTCTGCGGCTGGAAAAGGGGACATGAAGCCCTGAGACACCAGTTCCGTGACAACAACATCTGCACCTCACACCCACTCAAGCTAAAGGGTTTCTACTGCCTTCAGTTACAAGCAACAGAACAAATAATTACAGTCTATCACTTTGCCCCCTTCTTAACAGGGCCTGGGGAGGAAAACGTGTTTATTGAGCAAATAAAACTAAGACCTGGGGTTTCTGCAGCAGAATGTGAGCTCACTTACAGGCAATTCTTACCTTCATGCCAAAGGTGAAGATGGTGATGAAGACCTTCATTATAAGGGCCAAAGCCAGCTGCCACATGGCAGTGTAGACTCCTGGGCCAGCAGCTCGGTCTGGCAGGTCATCCCCTTTGGTGCTGTTGAAATCATTCACGTACTCGCAGAGCTTGGACGAGTCCAGAATCCCACAGTCATTAAAGAGCTCGGAGATCAGCTCACTGGTGCTCATCCTGGTGTACTCATTAGGGAAGGCCAGCACGGCCGTGATGGCTGTCACTACAAACACCTCCAGCACCGGGTATTTGCCAAGCTTGGTCGTCTTGCGCCGCCTGCACCAGGCAATGTTGCTGCGAATGAAGAAAGCCCCCCAAAGCCCCCCAAATATGCCCAGAAGGATGAAGGGCACAAGCTCCAGAAGATGCCATGGCATGTGAAACTCCACGTAGAAGAGAACCAGGCGGCTGTTCCCAAAGGGGTTGATGGAGCGCAGGGTGAATGCCGCGACCAGAGCAGCGAAGAAGGAGCGCCACAGTGTCTTGAGAGGAAAGTAGTAACTGACCTAAGAGGAGAAACAAGGCAGAGTCAGTCACTTCAACACTTGCCGCTCCACCGACCACTGCCTAGTGATATCAGGCAAGGACAAGATCAATGCGTGCTGGGTACAGCCCCCTCCTCTCCAGCCAAGCACCCCGGGCTTGACTGTGGCCTGCTCAGTTCCAGTGCAACAACTGCCCTCTACGACTTCTGACAAGGGTCTGTAGGGACAGGACAAGGGGAATGGCTTTAATCTGCCAGAGGGAAGACTGGGATGAGCTCTTGGGAAGAAGTTCTTCCCTGTGAGGGTGCTGAGGCGCTGGCACAGGGTGCCCAGAGAAGCTGTGGCTGCCCCATCCCTGGCAGTGTTCAAGCCAGGTTGCTCCAAGCAACCTGCTCTAGTGGAAGGTGTCCCTGCCCATGGCAGGGGTTTGGAACTGGAGGAGCTTTAAGGTCCCTTCCAACCCTTCTGTCGCTGGAGATACTTTACTCAGATAATAAAGGCTGTTACAGATCAGCTGTGAGCTGAATCAGAGAACTTTCTGTCCTGCATGCTCTGCAAGGTCCAGATGTGCTAAACAACAGTGCTTGCCATAGCTGCCATCACAACTGTGCTCAGCTGAGCAAAACCATCCCACTCTTCCTCTAAGCCCTGAAGCAAGCAGCAGTGATACATTTCACATCTGGATCTGAAGGACAAGGACTGGAAGCTTCTTGGGAAGAAAAAGGGTCCAATGAGCCACGTAAGTTTGTTCCCAGGGTACCCTGGGACAGAGCTGTCAGGAGAGGGTGGGCACATGGCAAACAAGAGGGAGGCTGTGGCTGTGAGCAGTCAGTGGTGCTGGGCACAGACAGACCATGGGAAACCAACACGTTTAAAGCAAAGCTTTGGATAGACTATCCAAAAAGTTCTCCCGTATTCCCAAGAATTACCTGAAACCCCAATAAGCTTTTAGATTGTTTGGCCTTGTAAGCACACCACCGACCAGTACTCGGGAGGCTCTCCTACACACCAGCAGTAATGGGAGGGATTTTTAACCCAGCAGGGTCAGTCCTTGCAATCAAACGGCTCGCCAAGGGCCACCAGAAAATGCTGCTGTTACCTCTTCCAGGCTGAAGAGCACTCCTCCGATCGGGGCACCAAACGCTACCGACACTCCAGCAGCTGCAGCTGCTGATAAAACCTACGGGAGAAACCAAAGAGGCATTTTCACACACCCCCAACCTTCATGTCTCAGTTTTCATCTCCAGCGAGTGCTCAGTCAGCCAGGTCTGGCCTGTTTTACAAAGAGCAGGACAACGGTGGAGTGAGCCAGCTCCTCAGGGAGAAGAGCTGCAGAGAGCTACACATCCACCGGTGTTGGCATTTCAAGACTCCCACCCAAATCAGTAGAAGTGGCATCATGGCAAGTACCTTTTCCTGCTTCAGCTGGTTTCATGCTTTTACCTTAGATAAAGCCCCAGTAAACAGCATGGCAGCAATTTCACCTCAGAACACTGACTTCTCCATGTTTGCTGTCTCACATTCAGAGCATTTCTCATGCAGTGTAACTAGAGGAGCTGGTGGCCACCCAAAACCAGTCCACTGGGTGCATTCCATTGTTTGGCTAGCAGAAGGTAAACTGGCCAATGTGATACTGCACATCCCACATGAACTGTTCTCCACTGACTCATGTGGAGCACTGTAAGGAAACACTCCTAAGCTTCGCATTAGATGTTAGCATAGTTCTTCCACCGTGCCCATCACTGTGTCCCTGAAAGCAAAGCCCTTCATTTTATTCCTACAGCCAAGTCCAGGTCTCTGAAACAGTTCCAAAACAGTTTCTGGAGCTGCATGGCCAACCAACAAGTATTGCAGACGTGGAGGTTAGTGCAGTGAATGCTTCCATCACAAACGAGATGACAACCTGCACTGCTGTGCTGTCCCTTCCTAACCACGATGGCTTTTGCTCCAAGGGTGTCACACTGAGGCACACTATCAACATGCCAAAAGAGAACAACTTACACCTGAGGCAAAGCTCCAGCCCCAGCAGTCTCCCCACACCAGAGGCATCCCACTGTACCTCTCTGCGCTTGGCTTCGTTCTTCCTGTACTTGGTGAAGAGATGACACAAGATGTTCCCACAGCAGCAGGCGACGTGCACCAGGGGCCCCTCCTTGCCCAGGCTCAGCCCAGAGGACACAGCCAGCACTAAGGTGATTGTTTTGATGATCAGCGTCCACTTGCCCAGGTAGCCTCTAATGATGAAACCACTTAAGATAGTTTTGATCTGGAAGTCAAGCACACAAAGCTCTACAGGCTTTCAGTCAAGCCCTAGGCAGAGCTCCTGTTTTACTGGGTGCTCCCAATCCTGCTCACAGCTTTCCCACTCCCCCCAGCTATCAAAAACAACATAGCAAAAATACCCCACCATGCAAGTGCTGAAACAGCCTCTCGAGTCCTTCCTTCAGGGCTACTGACCCTGCTAAAGAAAAATCTTTTTTGTAGCCTTTACACAGTGTGCTTTTGTTTGTGTCTCCCACAGCAAATGCTGACACATTCGAGTTTTTAAAGGAACTGCATGAAGACCTAAGTACTAGGCATGTTTCATGATAGTTTGGGGAAAAAAAACATTATCATTTCTAAAGTGCAGGAAATTATTATTCCACAGCAGCGATGTTGAATCTTTTGGTGATGGTTCCCCAGCCCACTTAAAATCTCCCTCCTCATTCTCACTCACCTCTGGGATCCCCGAGCCACAGGCATAAGGAGCAAAGCCCTTCACAAGTAGCACAGCAAGGAGGGAGAACAGCAAGGCCCAGACAACGTACATGAAGTAGTTGAGAATATATGCAAAAGCCCCCTGGAATGCAGAGAAAGGAACCCAAATGAGATCATTTCAGCTGAGATCACATCCAGCCTCTTCACTGAAGCAAGCACAGAAATAGCAGGTAATGCCACATAAAGTTATCAGCCCAAAACAGAAAGAACTACAGCAAGTGTGAGGTTCCAAGGACAAGTTATGCTCCTGGGTTATCGGGATATGAACCAATCCTATACCCAAAGACCATTATTTAAAACAGCAAACAGGGTGCACAGGTAGCTTGGCACTGGGGTAAGGTCTGTCCCAGTCAGGCAGGTGGCTCCCTGGATAGAGCTGCCAGAAATGCAAGACCTGAGGTCACCTTGCATTCCTCTGAGGGAAACAAATGAATCCAGTCATAGAATCATGAATAATTTAGGTTGAAGGGACATTTAAAGTTCAAAGCCAGGCTGGATGAGGCTTGGAGCAAGCTGCTCTAGTGGAAGGTGTCCCTGCCTGTGGCAGGGGGTTGGAACTGGATGAGCTGTAAGGTCCCTTCCAACCCAACCCAGTCTGGGACTCTATAAAACCAGCTGTAAGTACACATCACCTCTCCATGGCCCAGGATGAGCTGGGACCAGCTCTTCCACTCAGGACACTTGTCTCTGTCTGTAAAGGTTGTGTTGGATTTCCAGCAGCAGTGCTCATGGTTAAACCAGAAGCCTGCTAAACACACTCCTTCCTTCAGATCTGTCATCCAATGGGCAGAGATGTCAATCAGACCCGCCAAGGAACCTGGTTTGAAGGAAGAAAGGAAAAAAGTGTAATAATCCCCTTGCTGAGACTTGCACATCTGAAGGTTTCAGTCTGCCCTGCTACATTCTGACTCACACACCAGCACGTAGAGCAGCACTGGTATTTCTGCCTCCAATCACTTTGTATTCTATAGAGAGCTAAATGGGGAGATTTGCTAAAGGATCTATAGACACTGAAATGAGCAGGTCAGGAAGCAAAACATGGCCAATAATATTTCAAAGGCTGAAACACCACAAACTGCATCCACAGAAGCTGTGGCTGCCCCATCCCTGGCAGTGTTCAAGGCCAGGTTCGACACAGGGGCTTGGAGCAACCTGTTCTAGTGGAAGGTGCCCCTGCCCATGGCAGAGAGTTGGAACTGGGTGAGTTTGGGCCCCTTCAATCCAAACCAGGTTGGGATTCAGTGATCACCAGGAATTACTTCTGCCCAATGGCACTGAAAAAGCACTTGATAAATACAGCACAATGAGTGGACTGAGGGGGACATGGGGCACTTCTGGAGTACATGTTATCAGCCTCCAAAATACTTAACAATACTAAAGCTGTGACAGGAATAGCTTTGAACTGGGAGAAAACATTTCTAGCCAATTTAAATAAAATTAAAACCAGGGGAAAGCTGTAAGTGTGCCAAGTGAAAGCCAGGCGCAGAGAGCCGGTAACTCAGATTTGAAAAGAGGAATCTTCAAGCAATTTCTTGTTCTCATGTTAAGAACAACTCCTACAATCCCCACAAGTAAGTGCTGCCATCGGCTCTGCTCTCAGCTATAACATCAGCTCAGCACTGAGGCCAGAAGCAGAGACCTCTGCTCCACGTGAACAAGTCCTGGCACAAGCTCCAGAGGTGGCAATAAACATTCAGCAGATATTCTAGTTAATGGGACACCAGCTTTTGCTCTAAACATTAACAGCAGCTTTCATCTACTCCTGGGGCCGGGAGCCGGGCTGCTCCCTCTCAGGAAGGCTGAGGTGCTCCTGCAGCACAGGGAGCAAAGGTTATGCTGAAGCTGCTCGGTCTGAGCCAGTCAAGCTCTGAAAGAAGCCCGACTGCAAATACTCCTCTCACTTTATATCCAAGTAGAGTGGGAGGGGAGGAGGAAAGAAAATCTTCCTAGCATCCTTGGCATTACCCTCCCCAGGTCCAATGAAGAGCCTTCAAAGACCCCCCCGCAGTGTGACACCCAGCATTTTTATAAGCTCCGCCTTGATGGATTACACAAGAGGGATGTGGACCTTCTCAAGGGAGTCCAGAGCACGATCAGACAGCTGCAGCACCTCTGCTATGGAGACAGTTGGGCTTGTTCAGCCTGGAGAAGGCTCCTTAAGGCAAGACCTTAGAGCAGCCCCCATTGCCTAAAGGGACTACAAGGAACCTGCAGAGGGGCTTTGGACAAGAGCCTATAGGGACAGGCCAAGGGGAATGGCTTGAACCTGCCAGAGGGGAGACTGAGATGAGCTCTTAGGCAGAAGCTCTTCCCTGTGAGGGTGCTGAGGCACTGGCACAGGGTGCCCAGAGAAGCTGTGGCTGCCCCATCCCTGGCAGTGTTCAAGGCCAGGTTGGACACAGGGGCTTGGAGCAAGCTGCTCTAGTGGGAGGTGTCCCTGCCCGTGGCAGGGGTTGGAACTGAATGGACTTTAAAGTCCCTTCCAACCTAAACCATTCTGTGGTTCTATGATTCTAATTCTCCATAAATCAAAGCATTTAAAAGTAATTCTCCATAAATAGCAAAGCTGTGGCAGAGGCATCAGTATCAGCTAGCCCCTCGCACAGCCCATGCTCCAGGGATGAGGTCTCCTGCTCCAATGACCTGCTGGGGTTTGTGGGAGGAATTGATGCTGCAGTTCAGAACCAGGACTTTAAACCAAGGTTTGCTCTTACCTGCCAACAACCCAATGAGGAGCATCAACAGCCAGCCAGAGAAAGCATCACTCACGCTGTGTATCAGTGCCCATGTGGACTCTTTACTTCTACTGGTGATCTAGGAAAGGTTCCAAAAAGAAACAACAATCCACTAAGACACGGACACACTTTGGTGTAAATGCTCTAAAGCTACATGGTGATTCACAGACCACAGCCTGTCATTCTATGCCACAGGCCAATCTGGACACTGAACAAACTTTGTGCCTCATGGATACTGATACCCGCTGAAATTGATACTGGTACCATGAGAGCACACAGAAGCTGCCATCAGCACTTCAGAGTCTCCAGCTACAGCCCTGGTATCTATAACACAAACAAGAGTCGCCCTGAGCAGAGGAGGCTCTGTGAAGTGCTGCTCAGCCGGGCACAAGGCAAGTGGTAGGCTTAATACCAACACAGAGGAATGGTGGCACTGGGAAGTGGGACTCCGACCCGTCCAAGGTGCCCTGGGAGGGTGAGCTCCCCGGTCTGCCTGCGCCCAGCAGGGCCGGCAGAAGCCCGTCAGTCTCACTGCTCTTGACAGGTGGACAAAAGGGTGACAGAACTGCTACTGTGCACCCATCAGCCCTCTGCCTCTCCCAGGGGAAGCATTCCAGGACACCACTATATTCCCAGATAAAAAGGCACATTGATGCAGCCAACTACCACTCACTAAGTGGGGAATAAAGAAAGTAAGAATCCTTTCTGCCTGAATTCTCTGGATTTTTCCTCTTTCAAATGCCATGCTGCTGGTGAGTGGAACTGCTACTGAATGGAGGCTTGGTGGGGTGGGTGCCAAAGCTATTTCCTTTATATTTCATTGAGCCAACACTACACTTGACCAGCAGAAACTTCTGCCTTGACCTGATTTCAACTTCTTTTGAGGAAGACAGAAGCAGTCTTGTCGTTCAGGCACCTCTGCAGATAGGACATAGGTCATCCTGTTCTATCATGGGCATCACACATGCATGAGTGCATACATGCATGTGTGTGAGAGGTCCTTTGGCTTTGTACTCTTCATTCATAGGTGGGAATAGGATTTTGGGCAGTAGGCAGTGGGAGCATTGGAGTCTCTAAATTGGACCTGCACTCACCCAAGTTCGGGCATTACACTGTATTGTGTGTATTGTGTGTCCCAGTGAGCAGGGACGGTGCACAGTTTGTGCACTGTCACTAGGACCCAGGTTGGTTTGTGAGGCTCAGGGGAAAAGAAGAATCATGAAAGAATATTTTGGAAAGCAACTAGACCAGTTAAGCTCAGTCATCACCCCCCACGAGGTCTGCCAGCAAGGGCATGGGGGATCAGGAGCACGGTGGGGACACCGGTGCTTTATGTCAAGCATTCCTTGCTTTCTAAGTGGATCCCTTGAATTGCAGAGAGTGGTGAAGTCCTGGGAAGAACTGCACTTAGCTTGAAAGACTGAAAGTCTCAAAGAATGCACTTCATCTTCTCAAACATGCAGCACAAACAAACCCAACAGGAAGAGCATCATTCACAGTGCAATGGTGTGAGCAGAAGAGTGACCTGTTTCTTCATCAGTAAACAGAATCATGGTGCTTAGATCCTTCCACTGTAAACCAGGGAAGAGCAATGTGATTCTTCCAGAATACTGCAAATAACCATGCAGCTTCCCTGAGCGTCTCTCTCAGGGGGTGACACCCCCTGAGAGCAAAGCTCTGCAGGCTTTGCTATGGTCCAGTCTCAAACAAGCCCACTGTGGCCTAAGGAAACGTGCCATTAAGGCATTTAAGATGTGTATTAGAAATCCACCACAGCTTTTCCATAAATCCAAGCCTCCAGAAGTAGCAACTGATAAACTGCAACATGCCACGTCCCTGGTCCCCAGATTAAAGCTCCTGTGGAGAGGCTCTCCATGCCCATCCAAAGGGCAATCCCAGGCCTCTCTCCTAAGTGCCTCCCTAGGCCACAGTCAGAACCCAGATCAGCTCCAGCAGGTTCATTACCCTGCCATCAGTGCCACAAAGAGTAGGAAGAGATCTTACCTCTCTGTGCCTGTCCCGATCCCTGGACTTCTCTCGCACCCAGTCTATAGTGTTAAAATCTTCATATGTGCCCACACCGGGAAGAGGTTCCTCCAGGAAATCCATCATTGTGCTTGTACCGTTCATCCCTCCTCCATTATATGAGGAAAACCCTGGTGGGGAAGAAGAGGGAAAACTGAGCATTTCTTAGTTTTCCCCTTTTAAGGAAAACATCACCAAAACACTGACTTAGGGGAAAACTCGCATTTAAGGTCCCCTCCAACCCAAACCAGACAGGGATTCTATGATTCACTTACAAACAATGAGGTGCCTCTGGGGGGGGGGGGGGGGGTGTCTTTGAGTCTTTGCTCAGTGTGGGTGACGAGTTTCTACCAAGCCCAGCAATGCAGAAGACAACACCGAGTCTACCTTGAGAAGGGCAAGATGAATGATCACCTCCCCAGCCCTCACCTCCCAAAGGCAAGCAGCCCAGCCAGGAGTTTATCTAAAGATAAAAAGATAGAGCTGTCCTAAAAACCAGCCTCTATAAAGCACTGTTAAACCTCCCTAACTCCCTTGAGCAGTATTTTCTGCAAGATATCAGGGTCATTCCTTGCTCAGTCTAGTGGAATAACTGCCCAGACCAGCAACTTTCAGCTGTCCTGGGAACGTGCTCCCTGCTCAGAGCTGCCACAGAGCAACACGGATCAGAGCCCGAGGGCACAGACTCTGTGCACAGCACTGCAGGTCACCCACCACCCCAATCCACAGCACTGGGAGTCCCACAGGTACCGTCTGCACAATCCCATCCACAACACAACCACAGCTGAGGGCTCTCGGGACAAGGCCACATGCAGAAAGGATGTTTGTGCCTGGGGACCAGGCACTGTTTGGTACCGACTCTATTCAGCCCAGGCTGTGGTCCCCAGAGCCCTAAGGTCTCCAGCCACACACAGCACATTCACAGCAGAGGATAAGGTGCCCCTTTGACAGCACATCATGAGGAAACATCCTTTTTCCAGGAGCAACACTCAACTAACATGGCTGACAGCCATAAATATTTATCAAGATTTTATTTCCTGCCTCAGCTTGTTGCAAATCAAGGATTCTCTGATAACCTCCCTGGAAAAAGGGAAGAAAACGAGCCTCAGAAAGCCTTGCCAAAATGCAATCAAGATGAACGTACAGCTACCCCCGGCTCCTAAGGTACAGAGCTCGAGTCGTTTAGTGCCTAGAGACAGCTAGTTAGGCACAGCGCTGTTAGAGGAGTACAGTTCATTCCTTCAGCACAGATTTGTCAGTGTTTTGATCACCTCTTCTCCCTAAAACGGGTTAATGCTCCTCTTTAGAGAGTCTGTCTGGCTCAGGGAAAAAACAGGCAGTGCTTGTTAAAGTCACAGCATCTGCCACTTCAACCCAGCAAGCCCATGGGCTTTAGGAGCTGTCCTGCACGGTAAGAAGACAGTCCGGTGAGGCGCCTGCACACCTGCTCAAGCAGACCTGGGAAAGGAAAGGGTCTGCAGGCAAAAGGGAGATGGGCAGCAAACCACCCACCATTACCCATTAGACAGCAGAAACCCCAGAGCCCCCCCAGCTGCTCGCCCTCCATCGCCCGGCACCCACCCCTTCACCCAGCGAGTGGCGGGGCAGCTCCGGAGGCACCAGCGGCTCCAGCTGCCCGCACATGGACACGCTCCCCCTTGGCTCACGTCCCTCCTCCTCCACGCCTGCAGCCTCCTCACCGTGGCTCAGCCGCTGCTCCCGCGGGAGCGCCGTTGGGAGCGCAGCCACTTCCCACGGGGCAAGGGTCGCGGGAGCTCCGGTGCCTCACGGCAGCACCGGCAGCACAGAGCAGCCGGCAGCGGCGCGGGGCCCTCCCCACACGCCGGGCCTGGCGTCACACCGGCCGTCACATGGGCCAGCCCTGCACCTTGCCGAAGGGCAGGATCGAGGCGGCACAGCCCCATCGTCCCCTTGCCGCTCCTTCACCCAGATGGCGATTCCTGGTAAGCCCAGCGCGGAGGCTGCACCTCGGAGCCGTGCGCGGAGCTGCTCACGCAGACCTGGGGACGTTTCACCTGGGGCAATATATCCTTGGGACAAACCACAGCCCGTTTGCTGTGCTGTACAGACTGCACACAGCCCAAAGCTGACTGCATCAGGGCACTGGGATGAGGGGGAATGGCTTTAGCCTGTCATAGAGAGGAGACTGAGCTGAGCTCTTAGGCAGAAGCTCTTCCCTGTGAGGGTGCTGAGGCACTGGCACAGGGTGCCCAGAGAAGCTGTGGCTGCCCCATCCCTGGCAGTGTTCAAGGCCAGGTTGGACACAGGGGCCTGGAGCAAGCTGCTCTAGTGGAAGGGGTCCCTGCCCATGGCAGGGGGTTGGGAGCTGGATGAGCTTCCAATCTCCTGCCATGGGATTCTATGATTAAGTCGTTGCAACCTGGCCCTTCACCACCTCACCCAAAGCCTGTCTGCAGAGTGAAACATCACTCAGTACACACATCAGCACCAGATGCTGCTGCTGCATCAGCCTCGGATATGCCCTGCTCCACACACATCTGCAAAGGTCTGGAGCAAGCCAAACTTCAGCTTGACCGTCTGTAGATTCCTGACACTGGAATCTACACAGTCACAGAGGCACTGAAAAACCCTTTCTTTGCCCATCGAGCTGCTCTTCCGCTTGCTATGAGCTGGCAGCCATGCTCTCTGCTCAGCGGGTAGGCAGGTACTGAATCTTTCTTCCACCCTCTCACACAGGCAATAGCTTTCCCAAGCTCCCCAGGGCCCCAGGAGCATTCCTTATCATGCTATTCCAAGGAGGTAAGAGCTCAAAGGAGGTGGTGATTAAGTTCTTCTGGCTGCAATTCACTAGTGATAGCTGTCATTTGCCCATTGTCTGGCGAACCTGAAACACTACACCCTGCAAACCTTGACTCTGGTCTGCCCAGATGCCCAGCCAGAGGCTGCTGCCAGCCCTGGGTCTCTGGCCAGAGGTCAAGGAGGAAGGAGGGAGAAGAAAAAAAAACAGGGGAAATACCCCCAGCACAGGGATCAGAGGTGGTCCACTAGCACTTCTGATGTGTGGGTGAATCAGTCTCACCTGCCCAAGGGGCAGCACGGCAATGAAATCCCCTGGCCAGCAAACCCTCGCCTTTGGAGACCTTTGGAGAGCAGCAGCCAGATGGCATCGAGGAGAGAGGTGATGCAGCTCTGCTCTGGAGCCAGGCTGAGAGAGCTGGGCTGGGGCAGCCTGGAGAAGAGAAGGCTCCTGAAGGGGAGAACTTAGAGCAGCTCCAGTGCCTGATGGGGCTACAGGAAACATAGAGAAGGGCTTTGGACAAGGGCCTGTAGGGACAGGCCAAGGGGAATGGCTTTAACCTGCCAGAGGGGAGACTGCGATGAGCTCTTAGGCAGAAGCTCTTCCCTGTGAGGGTGCTGAGGCGCTGGCACAGGGTGCCCAGAGAAGCTGTGGCTGCCCCATCCCTGGCAGTGTTCAAGGCCAGGCTGGACAAGGTTTGGAGCAAACTGCTCTAGTGGAAGAGGGTTGGAGCTGAAGGATCTTTTAGGTCCTTCCCAACCCAAACCAGGCTGGGATTCTGTGATTCTTTGAACACCGCATCAAGCTCCACCACGTGCCTCCACTTCCCACAGCACAGAGCAAGTGTGTCCAGAGAACTGGTGGATAAACTCAAAGCTCCATGGGAAACCCAAGCTTTGTGAGCCCTGCTGCACTTTGGGGTGTTATTTCTTGCTATTAAAATTCTCAGTTCTTGCCCTTAGAGCTTAAAGAGAACCTTAAATCCCACAGCAAAAAGTGGACCTTCCAGCCATGAAACATTTAAGCCTTCCTCTGAAAAGGGGGAACAATATCCTCCCTCTGCTCTCTGTGATCTAAAGCTCAGCAGAGGCCACCACAATGCCCAGGTACTACACCTCCTCAGCTCCAACAGACTTTGCTAAAGGAATCAGGACTTGTAAATCCTGACTTTCTTAAAAAATACAATAAAACAACAAAAAAAAACCAACCCAGGGCTGCAGACAGAATGTACCTGACCCTGTATTTGGGTACCCATGGAGCTGTGGACGCAATTTCCTTTAGAGCTCTTAAGCAAATGAAGCTTTTGGGAAGCAACAGGGAAAGTCTTCTCATAGAAAAGCAACTGGCTAAAGACACAGGATGCTCAAGGCATAAATTCCTGTGTTTGAAGCAGGAGGAAGGCAACTGGAACTCCACTTCTGTTTGTACTGACTATTCAGTGTGTTCAGAGGGGTCTGGACAAGTGGTGCCTGCTCTGATGGGAGCTTGGGCTGGTGGCCAGCATCTCCTCAGCTGCCTTCGGAGGACTGCAATGGGACTACGAGAGAGCAAAGAAATTCAGTGTCCATGAAGCAAGTCCTGCAGGGCAGGGGTAGAGACAAGTGTACATAGTGTCGGGCTCAGTCAGCACGTCTGACCTGGAAACTGAAGCGTCAGCAGATCATGCTCTGCAAGTCATTGCTCAATACTTGGAACAGGCCACAAGGAAAGAGCTTTTTCTTTTTAAACCCCTTCAATCAACCAGCAGAAAAGATTTACTGCTGGAGAAATGCACCACCTGGTGGTGGTCCCATCACCATGGCACAGCCAGTAAGATGAAACAATGCCTGGGAGGAAGTACTGAATCCTCACCAAGCATGCCACCTCCTCACCCCTTTGGCCAGGGTTAACAGCTGTGCTTTGACAGCAATTCTAAGAGCACTGCCAAGACCCATCTGTGGTCTGGTGTAATGCCACAGCCTGGTGTAAACACCACTTACTGCCTCGTGTAATGGCACTCACTGCCTGGTGTAATGCCATAATCTGGACTACAGGAAAAACAGAAAAGCAGCAGGGGCTGCTCCTTAAAAAGCCAGGTTTGATTCCCAGGTACAACTTAACAGTGTGGAAATAAATAATCCAGGAAAGCCTTATTTGTTACCTTCTGTTGACGGAATGCTGAAGTCCAAACCAGAGCAGGTAAGAGTGGGATCATGTGCTACTCACAGGGGCTCTCCATAGCCAGGCAGCACAGTGACAGGTATTAAAAGCTACCATAGCCCAGTCTAAATCAAGCCTGAGTTACTCAGAGTATCTGCATTTCAACTGAAGCTCCTGAACAGCTCTGGCCTTTGGGAAGCATATACCAGCTAGGCACAAAGATCCTATGTGAAGATGTTTTTCAGCACAAGCATCCCATGCTGTGGGCAGCAGGCAAGGCTGGTGGTTCCCATGGGGGACCTGACCCAGTGCAAGAGTGGTGTCACTCACCAGTCAAGGGCTCATAAGGGAACATGGAGGAGCACTGGCTGCCAAATGGACTCGATTTACAAATCTACCAAGCAGTAGGAGATGCTTCCTCTTCTGGTTGCTTGACAAGATCCATAAGCTCCAGTTGTGGCTGTTTTTGAAACCTGGAATGCCATCACTCTTGCAGGAGGGCGTGAGTCTTGGAGAAGGTGGTAAGGCCAGGCTGGACAGGGTTGGAGCAAGCTGCTCTAGTGGAAGGTGTCCCTTCCTGTGGCAGGGGGGTGGAACTGGATGATTTTTAAGGTCCCTTCCAACCCAAACCAGGCTGGGATTCTGAGTTCTGATTCCAAAACATGTCCCTCACTCACATCCATCTGACACACCAGCAGGTCCCAGACAGGGGTCTACACTCAACCCCACCATGGGAGAACTTCTGCTCCCTCCTCTCCAGCTCCAGTTGGGCCTGTGCCACCACATCTTCATGCTGCACATCTGGCACCCAAACACTTACCAGCAAACAGTTCCTGAAGTCACAGGGGAAGTTTGCAGAGTGAACTGAAACTGGTATCTGGGTGAGCAGCTCTCCACTTTTCGTTTTCCCCTTTTATTTCCTGTCAACCCTACTGTGGACTCGAGCATCTTGCCAACAGTCAGAGCCTTCCGCAGGAGAACTGCTCCTCTCTGCCACAAAGCTCAGGACAGCCCCCAAAGTGCTGCCACCTCCAGCACTCCAAACCACACATCCCAGGGGGGAACCTTTGCTTCTTCCATAGAAGTAGCCACAAGCCTTCAAATACCCTCACTGGAGATGAGAAAAAAAAACATTTAAACAAGGAGGGAAACCACCAAGTGCTCCTTCAAGGCAGCAGCAAAGTAAACTCAGCTCCAGTTACCCAGTGCTGCCTCCAAGTTCCATTTCCTTACAAGAAGTTAAAGAATTCAGCTCTTTCTCTCTAAAGACTGAACATGAGCACACGTTCAGCTTCATAGAGCTGGGACCCCAATGGCTACAGTAAAGCAGATCTCACCAGCAGGTCAGACAACAGGAAATTACTATTCCGTTACCAACACCATAATATGATTACTTCATGTATGCAATTCTGCACATACTCATACGTCATAGATCCTCAGAAGTCAGTTCAGTCACAAGTCATTATTCCAAGCTCGGTGCGAGGGGTTCTGAAGTGGACCCCAGATATGACCTGTTCTAGACCAGGGCTTGGAGCAACCTGCTCTAGTGGAAGGTTTTCAACCAATGGGGGTTGGAACTGGGTGAGCTTTGAGGTCTCACCCAACACAAACCAGGTGGATTCCCAAGGCCAAGCTGGAGCGAGCACCCTGCCCAATCCCTGCACCACAGCTTACCCCACACACCAGCCACCCTCTGTCACGTTAGAGGGAGCCCAGGGAGCACCACACTCAGTGTGTCCACCTTGCACTTGTCCCCTCTGTGCACACACAAAGGCTCTTTAACCACAAACCAATGCTTACCATTCAGTTCCTGCAGCTGCTGAAAGCCACAGTGATTCTTCCCCCATGTTAGCCTGACAGCAGCAAGAGGGACTGAGCCAAGCAGAGAGAATCCCACCCTCCTTCCAGCACCCCCTGCAGCAGAATTGCTGGTTGTTTCAGCTACTGAGAGGTGCCTTTCAAGGCAGTCTGCCTTCGCTTGCACTACCTAGGGGTAGACCACATGGCTCAGAAGCCAAACAGAAGGATTTCTTTTTCATTTTTGCCCTGTAGTAAACAGGCTGGGGAAGGAGAGGATGAGAAGGTGTACAGGAGGTCATGGAGGACTGCTCTCTGCTGCCCAAATTGTGGTTTTGCTTTTAAACTAACAACTCACAGGACAAAAGTCAGGCAGTTGTGCTTGTCTAGCGCCAAAGCTCAGCAAACTCAGCAGATTCATCTCTCCCCTGCTCATTTCACAGCCTCAGGCTCAAGCTGGAGGAGATGCAACACACCCTCACTGAACTGATGTGTGGTGGCAGAGAAGGCGAGTGTCTCTGGCTGTGCACAAGCTCAGTACCAGTGCTGACACAGCTCAAGATTCTCTCCACAACAGACAACCTTTAAGATTACAGTAAAGCAGGAGGGAAGTCTCTACTTGTACCACACACCCCTAAGAACCACCCTGCGCTGTCATCCTGCCCACCACACTCGTGACACCTCCCTTGTGGCAGGGGCAGCTCTTCCCTAGAGCAGCTACTTTGGAAGCTCCAGAAAGGGTGAGCCAGAAGCCCTAAAAGCAAAGCAGTGGGACAGGACATGCTGTACTGAGTAGCAAATATACCCCACAAATGGCTAAGGGAGCAGTTTTCCTTTCTGAGACGTTACTGGGGAAAGTTCTCAGAACTTTTGAGGACAACAGCTCGGCTGCTGGAGACAGACAAGCAGTGCCTCCCCACCACAACAAAGTCACTCACATGCTTCTTGCAATGGCCATTTACCTTAAGGAGATTTTCTGCTTTGCTTACAGCAGACACCTCCCACGAGCCTCCACCACGAAGCGATGCTGGAAGCCAAACCTGACACTGAGCATGCATTCAGCTGCTCTGCACGAATCTGCTCGGGGATGCAACACAGAGCAGAATCCTGAGAACCATTCACACTGGTGCTGTGAAACCCAAGACCCAGCCCAGACAGAGCCGGGGGGGCATGCAGACAATACTAACATCAAACCCCACCAAAAGCCCTTACAAAAAGCAGAAAGAAGAGGGATGTGCACGTGTTACCTTCCATCTCCCTGTCTAGAGGTGGGTCGTCCTCTGCCATGGAGAAGTCCAGAGATGCTCCTGCTATTTCCAGCATATCTTCATCACTAGTGCTGCTCTGGAAACTCTCCCGTCGATAGCCCTTCTGATCCATGGCCAGAGCTTCCAACCCTGGGGCAAAGGGAAGTCTGTTAGAGCACAAGCATGAAGACTCATTTTCTGAGCCAACTGGGCTGATGCCCATTTGATGCTTTGTCAAGAACTGTAGTGACACTGCCTGAAGTTAGGCTGGAACCAGTAACTGCTCAGCCATGAGACAGGCTTACTTCATGCTCTGAGACCCATAAACTGTGAGCAACCATCCCAAAATCCACAGCCAGCCCATGCCTGAGCTGCCCATGGCTCCAGTGCACTGCTCTGTGCCACCCACCACCATGGCCTGAGCTCTGGTGAGCCAAATATGATCTATGATCCAATCGTGATCTGACACAAGAGCAGCCCAAATGCCTCATGTAATGTTTTTCTCTACAGAAAACCAATTACATTTCTAAGTTCCTGATCTAAAGGAGCTATTTCCTTTTTGTCCTTTATACCTCCGTATTTTCAAAGCCTGTGAATCAATTTCTATCTTCTGATTGCTGCCAGAGAGAGCAATTCAGAATCTCTAACAGCAAGTAAAAAGTGACCTAGGTCCTATGGAGCCAAGCTGAGAGAGCTGGGCTGGTTCAGTCTGGAGAAGAGAAGGCTCCTTAAGGGGAGACTTTAGAGCAGGTCCAGTGCCTGTAGAGGGGCTTTGGACAAGGACCCATAGGAACAGGACAAGGGGGAATGGCTTTAAACTGCCAGAGGGGAGACTGAGATGAGCTCTTAGGCAGAAGTTCTTCCCTGTGAGGGTGTCCAGAGAACCTTGTGTCTGCCCCATCCCTGGCAGTGTTCAAGTCCAGGCTGGATGGGGCTTGGAGCAAGCTGCTCTAGTGGAAGGTGTCCATGGCCACGGCAGGGGGCTGGAACTGGATGAGCTTTAAGGTTCCTTCAACCCAAACCAGGCTGGGATTCTGTGGCTCTATGATTCTGGGTTAGACAAGGCCAGTGACATCTGCCGAGGTATTTTTAAATCATCTCCACAACTGCTCTCAACAGGTTTCAATGACACTTTGTTCACTGGTTTTGACCATTTCCACTCCCATGGCACAGAACTGTATCTGCTGCTGGAGCTGTGCAGAGCCCAGCACCAGGGAGGGCCCTCACAGCAGAGCTGCAGATGTGCCGCGCTCCTGAGGTGCCACACTCCCCTGCATGTCCTTCTCCCGAGAGGGAGGCAACCCATGAGAACAACCCAAGCAAAGGATGGTCCTTAACCACTCGAACACAAAGCTGCAAGAGGAACCTGGAAATGTGCCATTAGCTTCACAAACAACTTTAATTAAGTCCCTGGATCCAGCCATTGCCAGGAGCTGCCCATTCCATAAGAGCCATCATCTCTCCTTCCCTTACCCAGGAGGGAGGGTAATTACACCAGCACAAGGTCTGACAACACAGCAGTGAACTAAACTGGAGAAAGAATCAGGTCTCGGCCTCCAAACCAGCTCTTGCATCCTGGGAGTGAGAACCTTTTCACCTCAATGAGATGGTTTGTTCTCACAAGCACACATTATTTCAAGAGAATTAGAGAGGAACCAAATGTGCAGCTCAGCCTTATTTCAGGAAGGGAAGAAGGCAGCCACGCACAGCATGAACAACACACTCTGCAGAAAGCACTTCCTATTACAAGGAAAGAAGCCATCACCCCACACAAACCCAGCCCTGGCATTGTCCAAAGAGCTGCAGCAGTCTCCTCAGTGAGCCCTGTCTGTGGAACATGCTGGCACTTCACTTTTGAGCCCTCTTTACTCATGAAACTGGTGCAGAATACACCAGTGAGGAATGTGCCAAGCTACTTGCAGGGATACGAGCTTCCAGCCCAGCAGGCAGAGAGCTAACGAACCTCAGTGCTGGTGTGTCACAGGGCTTGTCTGCAGCACAGCATGGGTTTGTAGGTATTTTCCAATAAAACTCTGTGTGTGTTTATGTGTATCCGTGGAAGGGAAGGTTTAAAATATGTCTGTAATCACATAAGGCACGAACCCATAGCCCTGCAGCTGAGCCCCACAGACAAGCCCCACAGCCAACAGAAAGCACAATGCTGCCTGCACCATCAGCCAGAATCCCCATCTCAGAGGCAGAGACTGAAGCAAGGTCACCTGCTGCTCCCCCAACCCATCCCCCCATTTGTTCTCATTCAGTTTTAATAACCAAACCCAAGCCAACAAGCAACCACCACCTTCCAGCCCAGTAACACCCAGCACCACCCATGTGCAGCACAGCAGGGACACAAGGTGCTCATTCAGTGCTCACTACTCTCCGAGTCCTAAAGCTGGAGATGCAGGTTTAAATCCCTTTTTCTTACAAGAACACTCCCTCTATGAGCGAGAAACACCTATCCAGGATGAGCCATGTGCACAAACAAGAAAACCAGACTGCTCTCAAGCTTATCTACATTGTTCATTTACTGCAACACTTCATCAGGCAGTGACTGCTCCCTTCCTACCATGCGTACGTACCAGGAGGCTCCCAGCGCACCCAGTGCTGGTGTGAGCCAGAAGCCATCCTTCTCCAGCAGCTCCCCTTCACCTCCTCTGGCTCCTTCAGTCTGTCCTGACTCTTCCCATCGCAGTCGAGCAAAGGGAAGCAGCGAAGCTGAACCCAGCAGGGGTCACCCCCTCAACGCCTGGAAGTGACTCAGAGGACAGCACTGGCACCCAGGAAGTTGGAGCACCCAGTGCCACCCTCCAGAGCAAACCCAGTCCTAGCGGGTGCTACCTCCAGCCTGGAGTGCGCCTCAAACAGCACCAGAAACTGCAGGGGCTTCTCCTCATTTCATGCTTCAACATCGCAGAATTAAGACTGGTTTGGGCTGAAGGGACCCTAAAGCTCGCTCCAGCAGCCCCATGTCCCTCTGGTGTTGCTGCTCCAGATCTGGATGCAGCACTGCAGGGGATTCCCAGCTGTCGGATGGGATTCTTGGCTCCAACCCACCAGCACCAAAACACGACTTAGCAGGGTGCTGGGAGCAGCCGCCTCCCTGAGCCATGCAGGAGGAGCAAGCTACCACCTAGTGGCTATTTGCACAAAGCAACCAAAGCCCGTATCAGAAGACTCCCCCCCACCAACACCCTCCAAGATAAGCAAATCTAGGCTGAGCTTTGATAGTTCAGGGCTCCTGTACCTCCCCAGCCCCCCGGCGTGTCTTCACAGGGGCAGGCACTTCCCTCCCCACCGTTCCCAGATCCAACAGCAGGCAAAGGGGGGACCACAGAGATGATCACAACCACCAGCTGCACCACCAGCTACACAGGGCTGCACAGGAGGATCTGAACGAGAAGCCTCGTGCACAATCACATGGCCAAAATGATCCCAATCTGCCCTCTGGCAGGGTAAAGCCATTCCCCCTTGTCCCTTCCCTTCAGTCCCCGTGCCCAAAGCCCCTCTCCAGGTTTCTTGTAGCCCCTTTAGGCACTGGAGCTGCTCTAAGGTCTCCCTAGAGTCTTACACACATTCACTTCCACTGTTCACCAACCTTTCTCTTCTGAAGAGCAGACATTTCACCCCAGAGCATCCTTCCACTTCTCTCATTCCCCTTCTCTCCCCATAGATGACAGCTCCCTGGGGTGGCTGAGGGGGGCTCTGGGACTCCCCAGCCCAGCAGCAGGGACCTGGAGAAGCTTTCCCCATCTCATGTTCACCCCACAGCTCCACACAGAACCTTGTCCTCGGTGGCCACTGCAGCAAAGGCAAAGACAAGGCAAGCTGTTTGCATTAGGCAGGGAAATCCACCAAAACGAGCCAAGCACAGAGACTTGGACTGGTTTAGGGCTTGGTTGCTTGAGGGTGGTGGGACACTGGCACAGGGTGCCCAGAGAAGCTGCGGCTGCCCCATCCCTGGCAGTGTTCAAGGCCAGGTTGGACACAGGGCTTGGAGCAAGCTGCTCTAGTGGAAGGTGTCCCTGCCCATGGCAGGGGTTGGAACTGGATGAGCTTTAAGGTCCCTTCAACCCAAATCATTCCATGATTCTGTGAAATAGCACCAGTGTCACCACAATGAGTCCCAAAATACGAGTTACGGTGTTTTCACACCCCTTCACAGCATCCAAGCCTTGGCCTTGAACCAAAAGCACTACACAAACACCGGCAGTTTGACTAATGGGTGCACAGCACTGCAGGAGTCCGAAGCACCCAGTGCAGGAGCTTCTCCTGCCAAGCAGGTGCCCAGGGTTACCTGGGCCGAAGCAGGGTGCCGGGTGGGTCTCACACATCAGGCTCCCCAGGAGCCCTCATCTGCTGCATCAAGGAGATGGGTGGGCTTCCACACTCAAGGGACTCATGTGGAACAAGATCTTCCAAACCTGGTGCTCCCAGTCCTCCAGACACAACTGCATATGAAACTGTGCTGCGTAACCAAGAGGTTGTTATTCCAGAGGGAATAATTACAGCATGATGCAAGGTGCACATAACTATCCCAACCCACACCAGCAGCTCCACACTTGGGCACTCGGACCTGAATCCAAACTCGCAGATAAACCCGCCGGATGAGTCCAAGATCAGACGACAGGAACGTCAAACCCAGCTGCACACCCAGCCTGCGGCACCAGCTGCTGGTGCGACACCAGCTACCCCAGAACACCCAAATGACTTGTGGCATCATGGGGAGGAACTCTACCCCTGCAAACCTGCTCAAGGTGAGGAATTTCAGGGGGCAGAGCTTTGGAATTTTAGGCCCACAGTGATTTTCTAACCTCTCTAGTAGCTGAAGTCAGGAGCTACGAGTCCGCAGGGAGAGTAAAGGGAATTTGCTGTTGTGGTTTCAAGCACATGCAGCACACGGGGGGTTTGTAGGTGCAGGTTGAATACAGTTCCGTTATAAACCACTTTGGTTTGGGTGCTGCTCCCAGAGTTCTCCAGCTTCTGTAGAACACCTGCTAGTGACAATGCCACAGATCCTTGGGCAAACCAAAACCAAATTCAATCTCAACAGGCATTTTGGTGCAGCCAAGGGATACACCACAGGCCTTCCCCATCTCCAAGCAGAGGGTGGGGGATGT